GCAGTTACGGCTTACAATACAGCCTGCATGGACTACATCTATCTATGGACCACATGCAAACACCCCAGACAATATGGACTCTTAATACTACACCATAGGACTCAGAATAGGGAATGAAACACTTACAGTTCTGTCCTCTGAAGCATACTTCTTTAAGAAAGAACTACAAAGCACCCTCCATCCCTACACATTTCTGGACTGCATACAACCCCCTGGTGTATTTAGGACAGTAAATTTGTCACCCATAGATTACATTCCCTACCGTTTGCCCCAGTGCAGTTTACAGGTGGCTTGGTAAGCTCTGGCATGACCAATTTGTATGATGCAGCATACTGTCAGCAGGGAAGGCAATGTAAGGCTCTTACCTTTAACACTCCAATACATCTTTGTAACAATGTGTCAGTATCTAGTAAAAATTTCATTATAACTGTTTCTTTAACTGTTGTTTGTGCTTCCTGGTACCCATTTGGAATTCCACATGATGTCTCCCACCCTTCCCACCACCAAGGTGCTGGCATGCATTCCACCATTATCAGATATACTCTGCTACTCACAGCTTGCAATCATTATTTCATTGAGTCATAAGCTAGAAATCCCTCCCAATTTTATCTTAATTACAACAAACGTGGGGGCAGAAACTTATCAGGCTCTGGTGCCACTTCTGCCTTTTCTGTTTCTGCTGCCAGTTCTGTGGCCATCTGCTCCCCTGGGGTCTCATCAGACAGGTCCTCTGGTTATGGAGCCAGGATGTGCTGTAGCTGTTCCGGCAGCATAGCCTCCTCCAGGACTGTCATAAGCAGCAGAGTGACATCATAAGCCTCATACAGTGGCTGTTGGCTCCTCTTAGATTTGAGGGTTAGAAGGTTGCCATCCTGGCTGATCAGACTATCATGAACTGCTGTGGGCTCTGTGCTCAGTGCAGTTCCCAACACCCAGTCAAATTCCTCGTGAAAGAGACAGGATGATGGGGAGTTCCCTAAGGCATTCTCATCCCTGGCTTTCCAGTGATCAGTCTTGGTCCGCTTGATCTCTATGCATTGGCCACCAGTCTGTAATGGACCATCAGTTGAACCCCTGCACTGCCAGCTTCTTGGATGTTTCTTGGTACACATGGTCATTTCTGGTACTCTGACTGAAGTCGAACATCTTGCTCACCTCACACCAGAGATTTACCAGAATTGGACTGTGGTCCCATGATCACGTAGCATTGTTCTTGGTGCAGGACTTATCACCAGTCATAGCTAATGCAAGAGATAGTTCACTCTGTTTGCAGTTCAGCAGTCAGAATAAAATGGAAGGGTTAAAGGCTTAGCAGCTATACTTGAACCAGGGGGGTGAGTTGTCTAGTCTTGAGACAGAAGGGCCAAGAAACACTGATCCATGGGTTTGTGGGCTAGTGTTGGCAACTCTGAGGACACAAGTTTGAGGACTTGGGTGCAAGCTGCAGATAAACTGCAAAATGACCTGAGTCCCACTGGACTCGGGCTGGGACCCACCCACTCAGCAGGTGCTAGCACCCAGGTCTTGGGGCATACTGATCCAAGTCAGACAGATTTGTGTATGGTCAAAAGTGGGACTTGAACCTGAGGTTGAGCCTGAGCTTACACTGCAGTGTAGACATCAGTGACTAACTGAATCTGGGTCATGGGCAAGAGCTGGATGGTTACTAAACTCCACCAGGAGAAGACTGAGGTAATATTGTTAGGGTGGGAAGTCATGGAGATTTTATCTGTGCCTTTGACTGAGGGTCTTGAGAAGGGGCATGTTGATTGGGAGAGAGCCTGTTGGGGGGCAGCGGGAAAGGCAAAGCTCGGTCTAGGGGGCTCATTTAGGGTCTCTTTTGGGCATATTGAGTTGGGATAAGATTTTCAAAAGTGCCTAAGTGACTTGGGAGCCTAAGTGCCACCAACGTTCAACAAGTTTGGCCTATAAGGTGCCTAAATCACTTTTAAGATTTTTACCCTTGGTGTTACATTTTTGGTACAGCACCCAGAGCATTGTCTGGGCACTTAAATAAAGGTGAATTAATTTAAAAAGATCTGCTGAAAAGAAAGATTATTTAAAACACTATTTGAAGTGTTTAATTAGTTGTTAAAACTGATAGTTAAACTTCCTCCCCTAAAACATACAGCAATGATGTTAAATGTCAGCAGTTTCTCATTTGCATGCTGGAACAATCTCTTGTCACATTTATTCAGTATTTAACATTGAAACTGAAGGATAGAAATAGCTGGAAAGAAAGACTTTAAAGAATTGCACAGAAGGCAGCGTCACTCAAACCAAGCAACTCCTTCAGCAAGAAGCTGAAAGAGTTTTGCGGTGAGAACACAGATCTGAAATAAAATGCCTCACAGAGTCTGTCTTCTAAGTATACTCATGCCGTAATTGTGCTATTCTGTCAGTCTGTTTTTAAGATAATGCATTAGGGAGTGTTCTGGCCCACTCTTAGAAGCTTTGAAGTAATTTGTGCACTGTCCTATAGACTCATTTATTTCTGCTCTTGGATGTGGAATCATTTTAGGCTAGCAAGGCAAGGGATTTTCTAAAATACAATAATCAATTTAATTGGCATATAATAGGGAGTTAGTTGTGGGTATGGAATGAGACACAATAATTTAATGTATTTTTCTATATCTTCCTGACAAGGCAGGGTTGTTTTCTACAATTTCTATTTATTTGGTAATGTTTCTTTGCTGACTAGCAAGCTTCCTGCTCCTTGGCAGGGGGTTAGACGAGATGACCCTTGTGGTCCCTTCTAACACTATGATTCTGTGATTCTATGTTGAGAAGAATTTCCTGCTGGTTCCAATCATTATGATTTGTTTCTAGTAGTGCCCCCGACATGTTAGTCACTAGCCACACATAAGAGAAGACACGTTCCCTGTCTAGAAGAGCTTAGGAGTTAAACTGGTGAAGGCTGCGTGGATGCTCTTTGGTCTCTGTTCAAACCAGGCTTAACTTGGTTTAGCTTAAGTCAAATGGGAATAGGTCTCAGGACTGGTCTGTGCTCAGTTCTTGCACCACTTTCACTGCATCTGTTTAGAAAGTGATAAATTCAATCAGAGCCATCCCTAGCCTGGATGGCATAAAGGTGCTTCTATTTATAGAAATGAGCTAAACCAGTATAAATAAGTTACAACTGATTTAGTTAATGGGGTACAAAACCTGAGGTGTACACAAACCCTAAACTTAACCAGAATGAGAGGATCCACACAGGGGTCTGGCTCTGTTTTAACTAAATGGGTTAATGCTGGTAACAGAGCTCTCCTCAGGCACAGGTGTCTATGCTAGCAGAGCAGATGCCTCGAAGACGCGTTATTATTGCTCTAGACTGTGTTCCGTATGGAAAGCAGGGTGGCTAGAAGCTGGGATCATTGTTTTTTTATGACCCTTAAAACTGTGCGCATTCTACTTTTAAATATCTGAAGCAAAGGTGTTTCCACTGCTACCTTTTGGAGACTATTCTTCAGTCTCACCATGAGAACGTTTCCCCTGATCTGATATCTAACCTCCATTGTCCTCTTCATTTGAACCCACAGCTCCTGTGTGCCTCTGGCCCTCTTCTTGAACGACTTAAAACCCTCCTCTTTTTCGTTGGAATGAACTAAGGGCCTAATCATGGAGCAGGTCCTCAAAGAATCAATCCTGAAGCACTTGCATGAGAGGAAAGTGATCAGGAACAGCCAGCATGGATTCACCAAGGGAAGGTCATGCCTGACTAATCTAATCACCTTTTATGATGAGATTACTGGTTCTGTGGATGAAGGGAAAGCAATGGATGTATTGTTTCTTGACTTTAGCAAAGCTTTTGACATGGTCTCCCACAGTATTCTTGTCAGCAAGTTAAGGAAGTATGGGCTGGATGAATGCACTACAAGGTGGGTAGAAAGTTGGCTAGATTGTCGGGCTCAACGGGTAGTGATCAATGGCTCCATGTCTAGTTGGCAGCCGGTATCAAGTGGAGTGCCCCAAGGGTCGGTCCTGGGGCCGGTTTTGTTCAATATCTTCATAAATGATCTGGAGGATGGTGTGGATTGCACTCTCAGCAAATTTGCGGATGATACTAAACTGGGAGGAGTGGTAGATATGCTGGAGGGGAGGGATAGGATACAGAAGGACCTAGACAAATTGGAGGATTGGGCCAAAAGAAATCTGATGAGGTTCAATAAGGATAAGTGCACTTAGGATGGAAGAATCCAATGCACCGCTACAGACTAGGGACCGAATGGCTAGGCAGCAGTTCTGCGGAAAAGGACCTAGGGGTGACAGTGGACGAGAAGCTGGATATGAGTCAGCAGTGTGCCCTTGTTGCCAAGAAGGCCAAAGGCATTTTGGGTTGTATAAGTAGGGGCATTGCCAGCAAATCGAGGGACGTGATCGTTCCCCTCTATTCAACATTGGTGAGGCCTCATCTGGAGTACTGTGTCCAGTTTTGGGCCCCACACTACAAGAAGGATGTGGAAAAATTGGAAAGAGTCCAGCGGAGGGCAACAAAAATGATTAGGGGTCTAGAACACATGACTTATGAGGAGAGGCTGAGGGAGCTGGGATTGTTTAGCCTGCAGAAGAGAAGAATGAGGGGGGATTTGATAGCTGCTTTCAACTACCTGAAAGGGGGTTCCAAAGAGGATGGCTCTAGACTGTTCTCAATGGTATCAGATGACAGAACGAGGAGTAATGGTCTCAAGTTGCAGTGGGGGAGGTTTAGATTGGATATTAGGAAAAACTTTTTCACTAAGAGGGTGGTGAAACACTGGAATGCGTTACCTAGGGAGGTGGTAGAATCTCCTTCCTTAGAGGTTTTTAAGGTCAGGCTTGACAAAGCCCTGGCTGGGATGATTTAACTGGGAATTGGTCCTGCTTCGAGCAGGGGGTTGGACTAGATGACCTTCAGGGGTCCCTTCCAACCCTGATATTCTGTGATTCTATGATTAATCTTGTACCCACTGAAGTCAGTGGGAGCTGGGCCATTAGCCCCAATGGATACAGGATTAGGCACTCTAAGAATCTGGGTATGGCTGTGGGTATGGCTGTGGGTGTGGCTGTGGGTATGACTGTGGGTATGGCTGTGGGTATGGCTGTGGGTATGACTGTGGGTGTGGCTGTGGGTATGGCTGTGGGTGTGGCTGTGGGTATGACTGCGGGTGTGGCTGTGGGTGTGGCTGTGGGTATGGCTGTGGGTATGACTGTGGGTGTGGCTGTGGGTGTGGCTGTGGGTATGGCTGTGGGTGTGACTGTGGGTATGGCTGTGGGTATGGCTGTGAGTATGACTGTGGGTGTGGCTGTGGGTGTGGCTGTGGTTGTGACTGTGGGTATGGCTGTGGGTGTGGCTGTGGGTGTGGCTGTGGGTATGGCTGTGGGTGTGACTGTGGGTATGGCTGTGAGTATGACTGTGGGTGTGGCTGTGGGTATGACTGTGGGTGTGGCTGTGGGTGTGGCTGTGGGTATGACTGTGGGTATGGCTGTGGGTGTGGCTGTGGGTATGGCTGTGGGTGTGGCTGTGGGTGTGGCTGTGGGTATGGCTGTGGGTATGACTGTGGGTGTGGCTGTGGGTATGACTGTGGGTGTGGCTGTGGGTGTGGCTGTGGGTATGGCTGTGGGTGTGGCTGTGGGTATGACTGTGGGTGTGGCTGTGGGTGTGGCTGTGGGTATGGCTGTGGGTATGACTGTGGGTATGGCTGTGGGTGTGGCTGTGGGTATGGGTATGGCTGTGGGTATGGCTGTGGGTGTGGCTGTGGGTATGGCTGTGGGTATGGCTGTGGGTGTGGCTGTGGGTATGGCTGTGGGTGTGACTGTGGGTGTGGCTGTGGGTATGGCTGTGGGTGTGGCTGTGGGTATGGCTGTGGGTATGGCTGTGGGTGTGGCTGTGGGTATGGCTGTGGGTGTGGCTGTGGGTGTGGCTGTGGGTATGGCTGTGGGTGTGGCTGTGGGTGTGGCTGTGGGTATGGCTGTGGGTATGACTGTGGGTGTGGCTGTGGGTGTGGCTGTGGGTATGACTGTGGGTGTGGCTGTGGGTGTGGCTGTGGGTATGACTGTGGGTATGGCTGTGGGTGTGGCTGTGGGTATGACTGTGGGTGTGGCTGTGGGTGTGGCTGTGGGTATGGCTGTGGGTGTGGCTGTGGGTGTGGCTGTGGGTATGGCTGTGGGTGTGGCTGTGGGTATGGCTGTGGGTGTGGCTGTGGGTATGACTGTGGGTATGACTGTGGGTGTGGCTGTGGGTGTGGCTGTGGGTATGGCTGTGGGTGTGGCTGTGGGTGTGGCTGTGGGTGTGGCTGTGGGTATGGCTGTGGCTGTGGGTATGGCTGTGGGTGTGACTGTGGGTATGGCTGTGGGTGTGGCTGTGGGTATGACTGTGGGTGTGGCTGTGGGTATGGCTGTGGGTATGGCTGTGGGTGTGGCTGTGGGTATGACTGTGGGTATGGCTGTGGGTGTGGCTGTGGGTATGGCTGCTATGAAGCCAAGAGCTACAGCAACACTTGTGTGGAGAGCTCTGAGCTATATGGCAGCTGAATCTATGAAAGGTAACGGTGGGCGGGAGGGTGGCTATGATCCTCCTGAAGTGAGGGCAGTATGGATATTGGCTAGATCCAGGTGAGCTTCTTCACACAACTCTGTTAATGCACATGATGGAGCTTTTATATGCCTGCAGCACCCACGCTAGTCAGCTACAAGGCCTCTCTTCAGCAGAGCCTGCTGGTCATGATGCAATGGGCCAAGCAGTGCCATGGTTTTGTGATGTGGACAAGCAGGAACTAGAAATCACCTGTGAAGTGGAGGAAAGTCTTATGCACTAGCTGACTGCACTCACTCAAATGTTTTCATGGCTTCGTATTAGCACCACATAAAATGAAAACTGCCGCAGCCTGGAACTGATTTGGACAACGGTGTAAACTGGTGTGATTGTGACACAACTGCTGTCATTGGCACCTGTGTTACAGTACAAACAGCACTTAAAAAAATTCTATAGATCAGATACTTAGTATAGCCGTGTGTACCGACACCATGAGAGGGGCTTTATAAAAAGTAAATGCTTGTGAATCTGGAGCTGCAGGATGTACCTTTTTGTTGTGCCTCGGGGGATTTGTTACATGTTTTTCTACCCACTTCAGAAAGGTGTAAAAAGGGAAAAAACCTTCCCATTGAACTTCAGCACCTCACAGGGGTATTGCTACATCCTGGGCATTGTAATGCTGTTACGCCTTTCTAGGAGACTCTGACTGTTGGTTCAGCACCCTTTCCCCATGGAAACAATTGCATTGTTTCTCATGAGCATGTGGCCCTCCCATTGGAAGCCCATTTCTTTTTGCAACATGTTAAACATGCTGAGATTTATTTTATGAACTGGGTGAGTATTTTGAGGCCTGTTAAGCAAAACTAATTTGCTTCCTGATGCATTTCATGCCCTCAGGAATAGCTCCAGCCTGCATTATGAGACAGGATGACTGAAGAAAGTAGTCATTTTCTGTTGTGCCTTCTCTATGAGACTGAGAGATTCCAGAGGCTGATCATCATCCTCATTAGATGCTTGATTATAGCGTCTGTTTAAAGAAGCTGGAAATAGGCTAAGTGAGGAAGCTTTAGGTACCTGTAGACCCCAAAGCAAAGGAGATCTTTCCAGCTAAATTCAAAAGGGATCCATTATTATAGCATTTCTCAACCTTGTTGATACTAGGGACTAGCTTGCTGCTTTCCTAAACTGTGTCAGGGAGAGCTCAGGGACTGGCGCTGGTCCACGACTGATCGTTGAGAAACACTGCATTATTGTATCTGACTAAAGGCTCCAGCCTCCCCCAACACCTTGATTCATGTCGTCTGATCACATTCAGCTTTTCCAAGTGTACTTCTCCTTCAGCCTTTTCTCCATTGAGCGGAGGGGGAAATTGTTGAAGAAATGCAAAGTTTACAAAGTCAGGGAGCTTTGTGAACAGGGACCGCTAACAGGGAGTTTCGAGAGGGAGTTCTCCAGGTGAAGGAGGAGCAAATACGGGATCCTTGGGGTAAGTGGCTGTCTGCAGTGTGTGTTTGTGTTTGAGGGTTACTTGCTGTGTGTTGAGCTTGTGTTTGTCTGTTTTTGTTTGTTTGTTTGTTTGTTTGTTTGTTTGTTTGAAGGACTGTGTGCTGTGGCCAGCAGTTGGAAGCTGTGAGCTTCTAAACAAGATTTGAAATCTAGAAGCCTCTGTTCATTGGCTGATCCTTAGTCAGGGGGCTATCAAGAACACCAGGGCTTTAAAAAGCAGTAAGCAAGCGACCAGGGACCGCTAACAGGAAATTTTGAGAGGGAGTTTGGAAGGGGAGTGGGAAGGGGGCGAGGTACACTTTCCATTCTTTAAAATCTTTAAACTAAACTATAATCCAGACTTCCTGATTTAAACAAAAACCCTATCATTAACCTAGGTAGCTGTAGGAGAAATGCAGGCAGAAGCCCAGCAGCAGAGTGGGGGCTATCCTGTTTATTGCACTCAGTGTAGCATGTATGATTACCTGCCCTGTGGGTGGGTGGATGTGTGCATTCAGTGCAAGGAGCTCCTGGCCCTCAGAGACCATGTACGGACTTTGGAGGCCAGGGTGGCAGAACTGGAGAAGCTAAAGGAGTCAGAGAGGTATGTTGATGAGGCTTTCTGGGACACTGTAGATTTGTCCCACCTCCGGTCAGACAGCCCCTGCCCTGTTAAGGAGGATGAAAGGCCAGAGAAGGAGAGCAGTCAACGGGAACAGAGGGAAACCTTCCCATAGTTGGGACCCTCCTTCCAGATGATGTTGGGGTAGCCTCTCGCACTGAGGTTACCTCTCCAGGGGAGGGAACTCCAGTCATTAGGAAAAGGCAGGTGTTAGCAATGGGAGATTTGATCATTAGAAACATAGATAGCTGGGTTTGTGATGACCGGGAGAACCGTATGGTGACTTGCCTGCCTGATGCGAAGGTAGTGGATCTCTCGAGGCATCTAGATAGACTTATGTGTAGTGCTGGGGAGGACGGTGGTCATGGTACATGTAGGTACCAATGACATAGGGAAGGGTAGGAGAGACGTCCTGGAGGCCAAATTTAGGCTGCTAGGAAAGAGACGGAAATCCAGGACCTCCATGGTGGCATTCTCAGAAATGTCTCCAGTTCCACGCGCAGGGCCAGGTAGGCAGGCAGAGCTTCAGAGTCACAATGCATGGATGAGACGATGTTGTAGAGAGGAGGGGTTTAGATTTATTAGGAACTGGGGAAACTTTTGGGGAAGGGGGAGCCTATACAGGAAGGATGGGCTCCACCTAAACCAAAGTGGATCCAGACTGCTGGCACTTAACATTAAAAAGGTTGCAGAGCAGTTTTTAAACTAAGAGATGGGGGAAGCCGATTGCTGCAGAGGCGCACGTGGATCGGACAGAGACTTCCCTTAGAGGAGAGTCTATTGATAGAGATTCTCTAGGTTCTAGTCAGGAGGAGGGGATGGAAGAGGATAAAGTATGGGCCGGATCAGACGAGAAACATTCACATAAAAATCTGACACATCAGAAAAGGGCAGACAAATAAGCAGTGACAAGTTTTTAAAGTGCTTGTCCACAAATGCTAGAAGTCTAAATAATAAGATGGGTGAACTAGAGTGCCCTGTGTTAAAGGAGGATATTGATATAATAGGCATCACAGAAACCTGGTGGACTGAGAACAATCAATGGGACACAATCATTCCGGGGTACAAAATACATTGGAAGGACAGAACAGGTCGTGTGGGGGGGAGGGATAGTGGCACCATATGTAAAAGAAAATGTAGAATCAAATGAAATAAAAATCTTGAATGAATCCACATGCTCCATAGAATCTCTATGGATAGTAATCCCATGCTCTAATAAGAATATAGCAGTAGGGATCTATCACCGACCACCTGACCAGGACAGTGATAGTGACGATGAAATGCTAAGGGAGATTACAGAGGCTATCAAAATAAAAAACTCAATAATAGTGGAGGATTTCCATTATCCCCATATTGACTGGGTACATGTCACCTCAGGACAAAATGTAGAGACAACATTTCTCGATTCTTTAAATGACTGCTTCTTGGAGCAGCTGGTACAGGAACCCACAAGGGGAGAGGCAACTCTCAATCTAGTCCTGAGTGGAGCGCAGGATCTGGTCCAAGAGGTAACTATAACAGGACCGCTTGGAAATAGTGACCATAATATAATAACAGTTAACATTCCTGTGGTGGGGAGAACACCTCAACAGCCCAACACTGTGGCATTTAATTTCAGAAAGAGGAACTATGGAAAAATGAGGAGGTTAGTTAAACAGAAATTAAAAGGTACAATGACTAGAGTGAAATCCCTGCAAGCTGCATGGACACTTTTCAAAGACACCATAACAGAGGCTCAACTTAAATGTATACCCCAAATTAAAAAACATTAAAAATTAAAAAAAAACTAAAAAGGAGCTACCATGGCTTAACAATCATGTAAAAGAAGCAGTGAGAGATAAAAAGGCATTTTTTAAAATGTGGAAGTCAAATCCTAGTGAGGTAAATAGAAAGGAGCATAAACACTGCCAAATTAAGTGTAAAAATGTAATGAGAAAAGCCAAAAAGGAGTTTGAAGAACAGCTAGCCAAAAACTCAAAAGGTAATAACAAAATGTTTTTAAAGTACATCAGAAGCAGGAAGCCTGCTAAACAACCAGTGGGGCCCCTGAATGATCGAGATATAAAAGGACCATTTAAAGACGATAAAGTCATTGCAGAGAAACTAAATTAATTCTTTGCTTCTGTCTTTACAGCTGAGGATGTTAGGGAGATTCCCAAACCTGAGCCATCTTTTGTAGGTGACAAATCTGAGGAATTGTCACAGATTGAAGTGTCACTAGAGGAGGTTTTGGAATTAATTGAGAAACTTAACAGTAACAAGTCACCGGGACCAGATGGCATTCACCCAAGAGTTCTGAAAGAACTCAAATGTGAAATTGCGGGACTATTAACTATGGTTTGCAACCTGTCCTTTAAATCAGCTACTGTACCTAATGACTGGAAAACAGCGAATGTAAGGCCAATATTTAAGAAGGGCTCTAGAGGTGATCCTGGCAATTACAGACCAGTAAGTCTAATGTCAGTACCGGGCAAATTAGTTGAAACAATAGTAAAGAATAAAATTGTCAGACACATAGAAAAACATATACTGTTGCGCAAAAGTCAACATGGTTTCTGTAAAGGGACATCATGTCTTACTAATCTATTAGAGTTCTTTGAGGGGGTCAACAAACGTGGACAAGGGGGATCCAGTGGACATAGTGTACTTAGACTTCCAGAAAGCCTTTGACAAGGTCCCTCACC